TGTATTTAAAGGGATTCACCATTTTGTGACTGCAACTATGACTAGATTATTAAAATTTTAGCATGAATTATTGGCTTAGGAGCAAGTAATCATTCAGTGATTTTAAACATGATGTGGTGCATTATGAAACCACTTTTGACTAACCATTTTTAATGTCTACTCACAAAATATATTGTGAACAAAGTATATCTAATGTTCCGCTTCCAGAAATTATCACAATTTATATAAATTATTACAAAATAGAGCCGAACCTCTAATGAAATAAATTTATATCAATCTTCATTAAACCACTTTTGGAATAATTTAATTCCAAAATTTGCTATTTGTTTACACGGCAAAGCATTTTTTTCCAATTTTTGTGCAGATTTTATTTTCAACTTTTTTCAAAATTTACAATCAAAATTATTAATTACAAGCGAGTTTCTGTTGCATATTCAATGTTTATGGATGAGAAGCTGTAGTGAGAACGCTTTGATTCAGACATGTCAAACACAAGGCCCGCGGGCCAGATGTGGCCTGGGGAGGGCCCAGATTTGGCCCCCCGGGGCTGTCTCAGAAATGGCAAGAGACCGGTCCCCGCTGCCCTAGCCCACCGCTGCCCCAGCTGGTTACCTTGGAGCATGTGCAGGAAACAGCCAGCACTCTGTGCAGCAGCAGCAGTTCATTTGCTTTAGCCCGCCCCTCCCTCCCAGCTTAACCCCGTCAGGCCCGGTCAGGAGTGTAAGAGGAAGAAGCCGAGGTATTACAAAAAAGCTTCCCCCATTCTTCCACTCCTTCTCTCTCTTTTTTTTAACTTCCTCCTACTCATTCAGGTGTAGCTGAGGAAAAGGATGAGGAGAAAACAGAAAGGGTGTGTGTGTGTGTGTGTAAGAGAGACAGAGACAGAGAGAGAGAGCCGGGAGGGGAGGAGGAAGCTGAGGTTTTACAAAAAAGGAGAGCTTCCACCTTTCTCTCCCTCCTTTTTTATTAACCTGTGTTGTGTGGCATTTGTGTGTGTGTGAGAGAGATTGAGCCAGCAAACTTACAAAAAGGGGATCTCTCTCTCTTTCTCATACACATACATTTGTTTCTTCTGCCTAATTTATTAAATCAATGATGCTTTACAATAGCTGTCTTTGAGAGTTTTCAACATCAACATCTAATTTGAAATTAAAAGTTTCTGAGAAATCCAGGGTGGTTTACAAGAAAACTCTCAAAGACAGCTATTGTAAAGCATCACTAGCACTACTTAAAACAGTGGTTCTCAACCTTTTTAATGCCGCGATCCCTCAACCGGTCGTAAGTCGAGGACTACTCAACTGGTGCAGCACCGTTTGCAGAATGGGACTTTTGGCGGGCTCAGCAGGGCAGAGACAGCCTGGACAATTCCTATTGGCTTTTGAAAGCCAATAGAATTAGACTCTGTTCAAGAGAGTTTATTCTATTGGCTTTCAAAAGCCAATAGACAAGGGAGTAGCACAGCTAAGGAAAAGGGGAAAAAATGTGGACTGCATTGTTTGGCGACCCCCGTGAAATGGTCCAAATGGGGTCCCAACCCATAGGTTGACAACCACTGCTTAAAACAATATTAAAAGTATGTATTTTAAGAAAAATAGTAGTAGTAATTTACTTACTGCTGTTTGACCATAAAATGTGTTGTTTTACATATGCCAGGCTGAACAGTGTGTTTGGAGTTGCCCCTAAATGAGTGAGGGTTGCACTGTTCATATTTTCCTTGGGAGAAAGTTTTATAATGGGGGTGCCGTCTCTGAGAAGGCTTTGCTTGTGGCCACTGTTCTATAAACCAAACCAGGGGGACCATCTGGTCTAAATGGATGGTAAACATAGATGATTAGGGGCTGGAGGCTAAAACATACAACAAATGTTTGTGGGAATTGGGTATGTCTAGCTTAGTGAAAAGGACTAGGGGTGGTGACATGATAGCAGTGTTCCAGTATTTGATGGCCTGCCATAGAGAAGGGATCAACCTATTTTCCAAAGCATCAGAAGACAAATAATAGATGGAAACTAATCAAAAAGAAAACCAGCCTAGAACTAAGGACTGTGAAAACTAACCAGTGAAAAGGCTTGCCTTCAGAAGTTGTGGATGCTCCACCACTGGAGGCTTTTAGTAGATTGGATATTCTATTGACTGAAAGGTATACATCCCCTGCTTGAGCAGGAGCTTGGACTAAAGACCTCAAAGGTCTCTTCCAACTCTTATTTTTTGAGAGCAGTGCTGCCAACCTCTCCCCATCCTCGTCCCTTCCTGGGAACAGAGAAGGCGGGGAGGAAGGAGGGGAGGGAAACAGGAAAAAAGTAAGGGAAGGGAGATGGGAATGAAAAGGAGAGGCAGGGAAGGAAGGAAAGAAAGAGAAGGGAGAAAGGGAGGGGGGTCTGAGGGAAGTCCTGCTTTAGCACTTGGCCACCAGCAGCCCTGTTGCCCTTTTGCCATTCCCTGGTGGTCTCCCATCCTATTGCTGAGAATACTTTGGTTACAAAGCCAGGTTTCCTCATATGGAGGAGTGGGCCTCCCTCTGACCCACACTTTGTCCTCCTGCACCCACCATGAGCAACCTGCCAAGGAGAGTGAGCATAGCAGCAGCAGCATTGAGGAGGTAAGTGCAGCTGGGCGCCCCTTCAGGGAAGTGTGGCTAAGCTAGGTAGGGCTGTGGGGTCTTGATGCCGTGGGAGCTCAAGGGCCTGGGCTGGGCACTTGACCTCTGCTGCCCAGGGCTCTGGGCAGTCTATGCCACTGTCCAGGGGCCCCGTGCACAGCCTAAGGCTCAGTGAGGCTCCTCCAGTGGACCATGCCTGGTGCTTACCCATCCCACCCACCCTTCCCCACCTTCGGATGCGCCTCATTCCTGCCCAGGCCCGCAAAGGTGCCCGAGTGACATGGAGCTGGCCATGCCCATGCCAGCCACACCCAACCAGTCCCCCAATGGCAACCATGATTCTGATGGGGCCCTCAATGAAATTGAGTTTGACACCCCTGCTTTGATTCAACCTCTTTATTCCAATTTCACCTCAATGACCACAGAAAGCAATGTAAATGTAAAATCTCTGGCTGACTTTTTATTGTAATACATTTAAAATCAAAAGGATCAGCAATAATGATGAAGCTGCAAAGTGTTATGCTGTCTCCATGAAAAGGATCAGCGATAACGATGAAGCTGCAAAGTATTATGTCGTCTCCATGCAGCACGACGTGATCCACCAATTGTGTGATGGAACTTATGGCCTTTGCCGAGGCCACGGCTCTTCCTGCCAGCAGAGGTCAGCCCACGCATCTCTCTATGTTTGTGAACTGGTTTGGTGATCCATTGCGTATCTGGATTGCGCCTGATAGCTTTGTGGAAAGGATCAATCAGAATGACCTCAAAGAACTTGTATGTGGAATCCTCACCCACCCAGTAAGAATTCAGCACTCTTAAGGCTCCACAGTGTCGGCCAGCACGCTCCTAAAAAATAAAATAGTTTAAATATATGTATCTGTACCTATATATAGCATACAGGTGAAATCAGATTGAGAAACTTGATGTAAAAAAAATAGTATATAAAGACAAAAGTACTTACAGGTAATTTAATATCTCCTTTCTTTACATGTAAGCATTTAATTTTCCTCAATGGCCATCTCTCATGTTTTCCCGACTCTAAATATTTTGATTCCACAAATGCTATGCTTTGAACAGTTGCTTTACTCAGATATTAGTAATAACTATTCTCATTAGTAAACTATCATTCCCAAACAATGCTGCTCAAATAATGTCAGCCTCCTGCAAACATTCATTTGCTCAATGTGGTTTTCTATATAATTCAAAACATATTGGTTTGCCCACGAGCCAGAACTCTGCATTAAGGGGAGAGTTCTCATGTGAACTGATAACAGCATTTGAATTAACTGTCTCCTGAAAAAATAAGGAATACAGATAATCCTTAAAATCAAATTCAACCCACCAAGAATAATTGACTTAATTAAATCCATTTCTAATCTCATTTCCAATTTATTTCTGTACTGCTATATACATCCAGTTGTATTTACACAGAAACAATGTCTTCATATAAATGGTTATACAGAGTTATTTATCACAATATTGTTTATAGACATTCTATCTAGTATTGGAAACACTACACCATCATTATTACTCACTTGGAATATTTTCATTACTTGAACTTAGTAGTTTAATATATGCTAGACTACATTACATTGTAATATTAATATAGCATAATTTAATATATTATGCTATAGATCATAGACTTCTAAAATTTCACATGGTTCTTCTCCAGATTTACTTACTTCTGCTACAGACTGCAGACTCCGGGCAAATTTCAACTGGTTCACACCATGATGCACAGGCTTTCCATAAGTAGCACCCTTAGGAACTGGACGTTTACGACCACCACGACGAACTCTGATGCGATAGATGACATAACCTACAACAGAAACAAATAACATTCTAAAAATCTTAAAACTTTTTTCCAAGCTACCTGGCTATTCTGTATTTTTGATCCACGTATGTCCATTTTATTAATCTGAGATGATTTACAGCAGCAACAACAACAAAAAAAAGACAGAAATTAGATTCATATAATATAGACAAAAGAAAATATTAAGATTTGTTGCCTTACATAAGCTTCCTTTCTATCAATTTGACTTTTCAGGTGTTTCCTGCAGTTTATCCTCTTTGGATGTATAACTAGGTGCCAGTTAATTTATAATAATAATCCCTGTAGTGAGCATTGTATCAGATCGGTTTTTCTCCATATATGTAATAAGCATGCAATAAAACATATAGAGGAAGAAAACTTTAAATGTTCCCATTACCTTGCTTGGCTTTATATCCCAGCCTGCGGGCTTTGTCTGGTCTGGTTGGGCGAGGAGCTCGATGAAGTGCCGATAACTGGCGATATTGCCAGCAACGGACACGCAGGAGAAAACGCATTACATCAGACTGCTTCTTCCTCCATAATTCTTGGATATACTTGTAGGCACCCATTATGACTTACCTACTAAAGAAAATGCAGAATTATGTTACATCATATTTCTTTAATAACAGGCATATACTAAAAGGGACTCTTTTAAAAGAATAATGCTCTCAAGTATCTAAAAGTAAATTCCATAAAACTGACTAGTAAGTAAATCCATAAAAATATACCATTATTCTTTGGATGCTGTGTTTCTTTTTTCTGCTAATGTGCTGGTAAGAAGGCACATAAAAGCAATTTTAACTTCAGTCTGACAGATAAATATGTCAAATAAAAAAACATGTTTTGCATGTCGTAACTTTTGCCTTCTTCCATCAGCTTCTGAAGCTAATGTCCATGATAAAATTTCAATCTGTTACTGCTTATTATATATACCATACACGCAAAACCACACATGAATATATATGTATCATATACACAAATATGTTTTTATCAATATAAGGTAACATTTTTTCTCAAATTCTCTAGGTTTTAGCTTTATTCAAAAACATAGGTTGCTGCTTTGTACCAATTGCTTGGATAATCTTTTCTGACAGAAACTATCTAAATATTGCAAGCAGGAATATTTTACATCATTTACCAGTACTACCTAAAAAGAAAGCCTTAAAACAAGTCTGCCAATTTGGGAGTTATTCTTAATTTTCTATTTCAATTCTATTTTTTATTCTCATTAACGCTCACAGCAGTCCCCTCCTCTTGACTATTAGTCAGATTTGAATAGAAAACCACTGAAACTCAGGTTTCGTGCAGGGAGCCTAATGGTTAAGGCACCAGCTTAGAAAGCAGGAAATCTTCAGCTCAAATACAGCTTCAGCCATTAAAGCCAGCTGGGCGACTTTGGGCCAATCACTCTCTATTAGCCCAATCCACCTCACAGGATTGTTGTCGGGACACGGTAAGAGGAAGAGGTGTGCGTGTGTAAACAAATTAATAAGTCTGCTCTACTATTTACGAGTTCCTTCCTCCTCTTCCCCCCCCCCAATAGGTTTGCACTGAGCAAAGACCGCATGATCCGTCATCGCTCGATTTTCACCATAATTCTGAGCTGTAAGAAAAGCCCCGATGCCAGAGGAGCCCAGCATTTCAAATATTTATTTTCGTTTCCATTCTCATCCTTCATCTTTTTAAACTTGACCATGTCGTCCGGTAGCAAAGGGCCCAAGACGCCATCCTGCCAACCAGACCCTAAACCCTCTTTTTCTTCCACAGCTACCCAAACATAATCATCCTCTCTCCCCAAGCCTCGATCCATAAGAATCTAGAGCAAATGGGTGCAAAGAACCTCCAAATTGCAGGATGGTAATGGATACACCGTCCGCAGAAAGAACACAAGCAACCTTACCAGAAAGCGCTCGAAGCCGGAAAGGAAGAGGCCTCTCTCCCAAAATGCTTTGCAACAGAGGCGGCAGGAAGATTCAGCGGTCAGATGCTTGCTGGGAAATGTAGTTCATAGGGAACACATGTTATTAGAGCGTGGACTTTCACGCTATGGGATGAAATTGATCACTGTGACTTTTGACTGGCCGCTCTCTACTAGTTATGTTGATTTAAAGTCATCTAGATGTGGAAATTATCCTAGAAAAGATTCTACTTAATCACAGTTTGGGACTATTAATGATAGACTGCTTTAGAAATACTCTTTCGTCATGATGGTTTACTCCATACGATCTATGAAATGGGCTGGATGGGAAGATCATGGCTGAGTTCTTGTTTTAAATTAAATTCCAATGTTGTTCCAGAATTCATGGTGTTAAAGTCAAACACAGAATAATTCTTTCATATTTAAAATTTTTTTATTTGTTGCTCTTTAGAAAAAAATAACTTCCAGTTTCATTAACTTTGTGCAAAGTAGCTTATATTTTGTAAATGGAAAAAGTAGTTCTAGAAAACTTTTGCTCGTTCCTCCAGAAATCTTAAGTTCTTAGGAGAGTTGTCCTGTAATTTTAAAAGGGATCGACTCTCAACTTCAGTTATATAGAGCAATAGCATACTTTTATCTTTAAACTATGAAATGACAAAAATAACTTCTATTCTGGTTGGTCTATAGGTTCTGGATTGCTAATAATCTGAAAGAAGATGGGAAAGGGTTTCAAAGTGTTGGTTTGTGGAATGTGTTCAGTGGGAAAGACAGCCATCTTGGAACAAGTTCTGTATGGTAATCATACTATTGGTAAGATATGCCTATTTTTTATTGTCTAATGTAACTACCACTTTAATAATTAATAAATATATGTAAAATGATCCATATAACACATTTGCACTAATCAATATAGGTTAATTACGTTTTCCACAAAAGGCAAACTAAGAAGATCTAAAGAATTAGATATCCCTTGTAGACATTTTTCTAAACAAAGCTAGCTTGTGGAAAACAATGTTCGAATTTTTTTCCCCCCCAAAAAATGGTTGCTCTTTATTTCAAACAAAACTAGGTGAAGAATACAGCAGAACTATGGGAGATGTATATGTTGCTGTGGCTGAAACAGACCAAGGACTAAAAGAACAATTACGTTTGTATGACACCCAAGGACTGGAAGGAGAAGATGATTTCCCGAAACATTATTATTGTATGGCAGATGGCTTTGTTCTAGTGTATGCTGTAAATAATCTGAAATCTTTTGAGAAAGTTAACTGGCTCAAAAAGGAGATTGACAAGTTTAGAGAAAAGAAAGAGGTAAAAGACTGTTCCTTTTATTTTTTCAGTCAATTTGCAGTATTATTAGTATTTGTTCCATAAAACTATATGAGCTTATTATTTAAACTATTTTCCAACTGCTTATTAGTCATCATGCTATTTTGAATGTGTCAGAGATTATGGGTTGAAGCACCTCCACTTCTCACTATCAAGACTTGCTTGGCCTGGATGACATACAGTATTATCTAAGTAGACTCCTTCTTAACTTAACAGGTTTTATTTTCCTTTCTCTTCTTTCCTGACCTTTCTGCCTCTCAATCTCTCTAGAAGAGTCTCCCTCAGAAGAAATGGATTGGATAACCATGGTACTACTATTAGAAATGGATAGGTGACTTAGTCCTACTGCTTGTCATAAGAGGCAATTTAATTTAGACAAAATCCAGTTCATAATTTGGAGTATTTCTATGTGAGTCTTTAAGGTGAAAGTCCCCTAAGTATTAGCTACTAGGATTCTCTATTTTGCCTCACTAAATGATTTCACACACACAAGGCATATGTAATAAATTTAATAAATTGTAGATATTGAGCTCCGAGTGAGATTAAATGTTTTTGACAAAATACATACAGGCAAAAAACCTCATCTGGGACCATCTAAAACAAGTTTTCAGGTGGGTACAGTTACATAGCATTAGATGTTGCAAAGGAAATATTTGTGTAATATTTTGGCTTGCTGATTTCATGAGCTGAATGTAGCATTATAATAGTAAGTTATTTAAAAAGTATACAGTAATCCTCAACTTACAACTATTTGTTTAGTGACTTAAAAGTTTGAGTGACACTGAAAAATATGCTTATGACATTCTTCATTTATGACCATTGCAGCATCCCTATTTGGATGCTCGGCAACTGATTCATATTTATGATGCAGTGTGTAACCTCCTCACAAGCAAAATTAATGGGAAAGCCAATTTCACTTAACCATGCAACTAAATTAACAGCTGGAGTGATTCACTTAACAACTGTGGCAAGAAAGGTCATAAAACGGGGCAAAATTCACTTAGCAACAGAAATTTGGGACTCAATTGTGGTTGTAAGTAGAGGACTATCTGTATGACTTTAATTATGTCTTGAGACTCTAAAAAGACAGTAGATTTTCAGTGTTCTGTAATTGGGATCTGTTAATTTCTGTTTCTGTATAACATCATATCTATAGCTGAGGTAACTTGAGAGCTAGTCAGCACATTCTGTAATTTGTAGGATCCACCTGTCAGGAAAGGTAAAAACTGCCTAATCTAATTTCCCTTTTATACAGTAGTCCTAAATAAGAAGTTACTGCTGCTGTTGTTTCTCCTTCTCACTCAGTCTGTTCCTAGACTCTGATATTTTCCAAATATTTTAAATTATAATTTCCTAGGCAATTGTTTTTTTAAAATGTTTTATTGATTTTTAACATAATCTCCTTAATATTTGGTAAACAGCGTATTGTCTGGGTAAGTATTTAAAAAACAATCAATAATAATTAATTTCTATAATTCTATGGTCCATATAATGGCTTGGCATGATTTTCTTCCAATAATATTCTTTTACCAACCTTAAATTAATATAGTTCTTATTTTTTGAATGACAATTAAATATAAATATTTTTCTCATGTTTCTGCAAATAACCATATCAATATAAAGCTTCTTTTCTAATTGCCTCATCAGAGATCCTATTTACGGAATTCTTATTTAAATTTGTTTAAATTTATTATAGCTGCTCCACCTAACAATGGAAGTTATTTGACCATAGTGAGTTTTTAACCCCTGCTTTATTATTTTGATAAATAATTCAAGGTTACCTAATATTCCTGAGAGAGAGTGCCTCGTTCAAAGTCACTCAGCCAGCTTTCATGCCTAGAACTCAAAATAGTTTCTAGTCTGATGCTGCAATCACTAGATCAAACTAATCTTTTTCTCTACTGTTAACATATTTCTAAAAGCAACCAAAATACAGCCCTGGGTTTAAATATTGGTAGCTAATGTTCTATAAAAGTAGAACTTTGGAATCATACTCTAAAATAGAACTGAATATATAAAATCCATTCACTTACCTACCTGTGTTTTGGATTTGGAACTGTGTGTTTACTAACCCTCTACTGATATATAGCATCTTTCCTTTGGAAAGGAGAAAAAGAAATAGTATTCATGATTATGGTATTTATCTGGCAATAACTGATTGCTGTTGCAGGTGCTTGTGTTTTTTCTCAAATGATGGCCTATATAACAAAAGTATTTGTTTGCATAGTCGTTATTCTGAAAAATAGCAGTTAGGTCTACTTCTGTTGAATCTATGGCTAGATTTCCTAGCATCTTTTCTCATTGGCAATACTGGATATTGCAATTCAGCATATCTCAAGAACTGTAAGTTCCATATCCCTCTGCAGGATCTAGATATAATCATGGTTAAAATAAATATATTAAAGGAATAAATGGTTTTAAAATATATATGGAGATGTAAATGCTTTAAATAACAGTAATAAAATACAGGAAATGTAGTCAATAAGATTTTAGTGATTACCAAGTCAATTTTAGTACATCTACTTCAAATATAACTATTCAACTACTGCATTATAAAATTGAAAAATATATACATAAACATTACAGAAGTCAGTCAAGGAGCTAAAGAATTATTTATTCAGCTCATAGATCTGTTTGAATTTTGCATGGTCTACGGGAATAATAGCAGCTGTCTAAATTGCAGGGAAGAGGGCATCCCAGTCTCTCTCCCTTTCCCAATAAGGTGATTATCCTATATTTGGAAACTGGTACAAAGTAAGTTTTACATCACTGAGCGTATTTCCTATTTTGATTGTTATATTTCTTCTTTGCAGTGGCCAGTTATTGTTTTGGGTAATAAAACTGACCTTTTGGAGGAAAGACAAGTACAGAGTGAAGTTGCACAACAGTGGGCTAGGATTGAGACAGTGAAGTTATGGGAAGTGACAATAACAGATAGAAGGACAATGATGGAGCCCTTTGTGGTGTTAGCAAGCAAACTTTACGAATCACAGAACAAGTCGACGTTCTCTTTCTCCCGTCGGAGACTCAAATTCAATAAGGAAGATTACTGAAAGTTCTTATGTTTCCCACTGGCCAAGAATCTACTGCGGCTTTTGCATTTCCAGAGTTGTTCATTTCCAGAGCAACCAAAGCAGCTCTCACACTTCACAAAGAGAATGGCATTTGAAATCACTTCGTAAAAACACTGAAATGATCATGGTTGTCTGTATTCAGTTATATGTTTGGGGAATGTAAGCTGGAGAATGCTTGAGTGCAGAAAAAAAGAAAGAAATGGCATTCTAGAGTCATTGGGAATACTGCCACTTCACTTAGCACTTGTCAAAAAATTTAAGGGCATTTCAAAAAAGAAAGAACAAGTTTTTTTGATCATAGATTGTATAGCTTTATTCATTGTTACGACTTTGAGAAATAACTTGTGAAAAAGAGAAGCTAACAGAGAATTGAGTGAAGCATAAGCATTTCACCTTCATTACCTTTATTATAGTATGCTAATACTGTTAGCACCGATGCTTTTGGATGAACCACTGTTATTTCTATCATCAAGCAGCCATTCATCTCAGGTAATGTAAAACAATGATCATTAGCATTGCTAAAAATTGGGCTAAAGAAAGAAAAAATAATTTCCAATCACTTCATACATACATGGGGAAAATTTTGGTCCCATTCCCCAATTTCAAAGCCCACTAATATCTCTCCCTGTATAGTGACAGCAGCCTCATGAAAAGGATAGGACAGCACCAGAAAAAAAATAGTAACTTGGGTCATTTAAAAGGCTATAGCAGGGCCTCTCACTCTCAGCAACTTTAAGAAGTGTGGATTTGTAACTTCTGGAATTTCCCATTATACATAAATCTCAAGGTTACTGTGATTGAAAAGCACAGAACTATGTTAAGAGTATTTGATTCTGGCGTAGTGTTTTGTTTGACCTAGGTATTCCATAAACTATGATTTATGGCTCAACATATCAGCTGAAATCAGCCAGTAGTAATTTATTAAGTCTGTACAGGAAAAAAACATTACTATGGGAAAGGATTGCTCCATCCAGTTTTAGCTTTAAGCAACCTACCTCTTATTTCAATTGTACTCATTGTTGCTGTGCAATTAAATGCCTTAAAAATAGTATACTGACATAAAAGCAAATGAATACAGAATTTAAACCTAGGGAAGTGGAAAGATCTTTTTACAAAAATAACATGAAGATAGGTACAAGTTGAGCTTCCCTAGAAAAAGAAGTAGTAGCATTCCTAATTATACTTTTCCTCATAGCTATATTCTGCATCACATAAAGATGATTTTAGCAACTGATCACAAACCTAGATCAAAATTCTCCAGAATTACTAATTGATGTGGCTAATCCCACTGGCTGGATGTTTTAGGAACTGTAGTCCCCAACAAATCAAGACAGTGCTACATTGAAGAATTCAAAAGGGCTATCACAATATAACAAGTTCTCATCCACTTCTCGTAAATGGAATCTGTAGTTAGATTTGTATTTTCACAATTTTCATTACAATTCTCAAGGATACAAAATTCAATTAGAAAGTGGGTGGCTAATTGGACTGAAATTTCTCAAAATATGCAGTATAGAAATTGATCAAAGTTTCTTTTCTTTCCATCCAGGAATAAAATATTTTAAGGCCTAATGTATATATTTTAAGCACATTTTTTGAATTTAAATAACATGGGTGAAATATCTAGGGTTTAAATTACAGATTGAATACAGATTCTGACTTCATTCTATTTACATTGCACATTGAAATGGCTCTGATCTGTTTATATAATTTACTCATTAAGTTGTCCTTCAGTGCATTTTGTAGAATGACAGGGTTTAATTGTAGCATCATAATAAGCACAGTTAACATGAATTTTATAGAATTATTCATTCTGGGCCACTAGTGAATTGTCCTGCTTCAATTACTATTAAGTGAAAGCCAATTTGAATTATGTTCACTTCAGATAATATTTTGGGCACTATTAAAAGAAAAAAGGAACTCTTTTGATAGAGATATTAAGTATGTTAGCACTTTCGTATAGATGGATACTAAGACAAAAGGGAAAAACTATTCCCACTCCCAAATATGTCAAGCAACAATGGCCTGAAATCACAATAAATAGCTTTAATGTTGAACTGCTAGGGAAACTCTAGGTTTAAGTACTTAGGAGATGATCCAACTTGCAAAAAACAACAGATTGTTGGATAGGTAAGTAAGTCTACCTTCTCGTCCAGAATTTCATAACCTGTTAAAGTCTTTTCATGTAACTTTTTGTTATGTGACCTGGAAACTATTCTTTTTTTGTATGATTCATTTATCAGGAATAGGTTGTATTGTCTGTTATACTGGGGTCCCCAACCCCCAGTTTCTGGACCGCTACTGAATCAGCCTGCGCATGTAGTGGGAGAGTGAGTGAAGCTTCATCTATGCATACATGGGATCTAGGTTGCACATGCAAAACCACTTACCCTTCCGGTCCATGGAAGACAATTTTGTTCCAAAACCAATCCCTGGAGCTAAAAACGTGGGGGACCGCTGTGTTATACACAACCAACAGATGTATTCCAGAAAGAAGTATCAGTAGGGGGTTTGTACATATTTTTATTAGCACAGTAACAAATGCAGACTTAGATAGCCCACAACATACAACCAATCCACTGAGTAACTCCTATTCCACGCCTTACAGTTAAACAGCTTAAGGTATTTCACTACAGGTTGCTCCAAGTCCATTTAAAACCTTTATTTTCACAAAGGTAACTTGGCATAGAAAAATGAATGCATGAACTATTTTCCCTATGCTAGGGGAGATGACAATCTAGCTGCACCCCTATATTTGAACTTAATGAAAGGGTAGTCTTGTAAAAGATGTGTTAAATATGAAACTCCCACCTCCCCTAGGGAAAATATTCCCAATATTGTTTTACAAATAAAATCAAGTTAAAAGAAAATTAAATTGCAAGCCTTCTTGCAAAATTTTTTTACAGAAATGCCAAATATATGTACCCCTAAATTAAGCTGTTGTATTTTTTTTTTTAATCTATTGCAACCAAACATCCTTTCCCACCCTCATCCAATTGTCAGATTAGTTTACATTCTTCTTGGTGCTATAGCAGAGCTACTATTGCTGAACTAATGACAGTCTTAAAATATGCTAGTCCCATTCTAGCTGTCTACTGTAGCAAGATACCTTAAGTAACAACAACAAAATTTCAGGAAATAAAAGACTGAATAAATTCTGTTATAGAAATACCCTACTCTTTTTCAGTTTCTCCCCTTCCCTGTCCCACCCCTTCAAAATCATAAGCAGCTCTTTCTGTCACAGATGATTTAACACAAAGATATGACAAAAATCCAGTTTATGTTGCATATCTCTTGGTCCACTGTCTGGCCATTCTGTCGTGCTCTGCTCTGTTAGTCATATACTGAGTTGCAATACTTCCAACAAGGGGATCAGCTGCAAAATAAATAAAACAAATGTAATAGATCAGATATGATGAAGACTCCTAGAACACTGCTTTAATGAAAAATATTTGTGTGACTTTTTAATTACAATTTTAGAATTTAAATACATTTTCCATTCAGGCCAAGAATGGGAAGGGGAATCTGGTCTTCGAGATGTTGGCAAACCTTTATTCTTTTCCACTAGACTTCACAGTGCTTTTTCAGCAATAGCCATACTTGCTGAAACTGTTGGCAATCATACAATAGTTAACACTGCATCTCTGTTAGGCCCATGCACATCAAAGACCTACTATAATAATGGGACTTGCTGGACAACTGCTGTTTCCATAGATACAATACATTTCTATCAGTCCTTTAAAATATGTCTCACAGCAAATCCTTCTGGAGATAATGATGACTTTAACAAAGGCTGTAATCCTTCAGTGTAAACACCATCAATGGGGTTATTCCACTTCTTATTAATTTTGTAGAAATGATAGAATCACTTTTCCATCACTGGATTTTGAAAAACTTCATTTTGTAGGTTTTTAAAATTAAGTTTTGGAGTTTATGTCAATGCAATGGAATATACATGGCATTCTAACCAATAACAATTCTGTTTGAGTTTTGTTTTGAATTTGCTGTTCTTCAAGACAGGACAGATAATCCTTGTTCAGGGACCACTCAACGTTATGACATAGATGAATAATATGAAACATATTGTTCCTCATAGTTGTGGCTGTTACAACGTTCTTGTAATCATGTGATCATGATTTAGGTGCTTGGCAGCCAGCTTGCAATTGTAACATTCATAGCATCCTACAGTCATATGATTGTGATTTGTGATATTCATTGCTGGCTTCTGACAAGCAAAATCAATGGGGAAGTTGCAGAAGGTTGCAATGGCAATCACATAATCACAACATGCTGCAATTAGAATAGAATAATAACTCTATTGTCACTTTAAATGTACATTATTCAGCATACATTAACATGAGATTTTATTATATAACAGCTCTCAAAGAGTAACCAACTCCAATATACTCTGCATAAATAGGGGAAAAAAAATGCTTTTCTCATCCGACGCAGGAAATGCAGGCACTGGTTTGCACACATCACTAAGGATGATTTGTGGAGAGACCAAGTCAGATTGTTAGTTATCTGCACCCCCAGATACTAAATACTGTTGACCACCTCCACAACTGTAGCATTGATACAGAGTGGAGTATGGCTATGTCGGCTCTTCCTAAAATCTACAATGATCTCCTTTATTAATATTCAGAACCAGGTTACTTTTATTGCACCAGTCCACCAGAGCCTTCACCTCTTCTTTATAAGCATCTTCACTGTTGTCCCAGATAAGATCTACCACTGCCGTGTCATCTGCATACTTCACAATGATTCATAGCAGATTTGGCACAGCAGTCAGGGTCACCAAGGTGAATAGTAAAAGACTCAAGACGTAGTCCCGAGGGAACCTGTACTCAAGAAATGGAGTTGGAAACTTTTCTTGTGATATTCCCTTACAATGGCAGCAGGGACTGCTGCAACTCCCATTATAAATTGGCATGATCATATGATGGGCTTTACAACTATAGAGTTGCCAGTTCAAATTACCCTCATTAAGCAAGGACTGCTTGCATAGTTTTAGACACATTTGATTGGATTCTCCTTGTGTATTGTGTTTTGGAGATGGGCCCTTAGCAGGAAGCAGCTAGAACAGTGCAGGAAAACCTATGGGTTAACAGACTAGTCTAATATAAGGCTGGACAAGGAAAAGAAGGCCAGCCAGTGAATGACTTTTGCAGTGATGATAAAGAAACCTATGGAAAGCAATTATAATACAGAAATGTATGTGCTAATATTTCTGCTGAATCTCTTCTAATTAAAAGAAAATATTTTCAATTCTATACAAAAAATGTGAGTTGCTTGGCTAGAAAAGGTCTGTTGCCGTCTCCTGATCAATACATTCTTAAATACCCAAAAGAATGCAGTGCTAGAGGGCAGCCATTCTTTTTGTAGAAGATGTTCCTGTATTGGTTATCAGAAATCAATATGAAAACTCCCCATGGTTTTGGCATATGGATTTATCTCTGTATAGATCCTGTTCTCTGTCCCTCATCCCTCATTTTGACCCCACTTACCAGGATTGCAATCTGTGAGAAGTGAACAAATTGAAAGAAGAACTTTAGAAATAGTTAATGCTGGACTCCAGTTATCTTTTAATATATCCAAACAGATCACTCCTTGACTGTTAATGTTGCAGTGATAGATTCTTGTTCGAAAGGTAACCTATGTGAGAAAAGTTTTTTTAAAAAAATGTAAGGAAATTGTGTTCATTCTCATCTTTTCATTCAGATCCAAGCATTTCCTACAACAGATATAAAGTGCTAAATTTGTCTAAACCCATTTGTAGATAATTTCCAATTTTTGATAAATTATTTATCTAGCATCAGACAATTTTCTATTATTTCTCATTCTGCCAGATTTCCATGAATAACTTTTCTCCTTTAATTCCAAAATATTAAATCCCACTTATTAATTTCATCAATTGAAGGCTTTTCTAGGGTTTACAATAATGTTTTAAAATCCTCAGATGTTAATCTGAGCTAAATTAGTCAATATCATTAAAATTCAATTTGTTGCATCTGATTTTTGTATCTCATACAATGATGCAAAAGTTCACTTTCTAGTGGTCAGAATGCTTCATGTATTCTACCAGATTACCTTTGTAAGTTCCCATGGCTCAACTTCTGAATGAGGAAGCCAAACCTTTGCCCCAGTTTTGTACTTTTTGAGATTAGCTAGATTAAGGAACAAAATGCTTGTCTTAAATCTCTCAGTGACTTAAAACATCCATTTCAGTCCTTACAATAATAAAAAAATGGATCTTGCATTGCCTACTTTTGCAATGTGGTCCCTGATGTGTTGAACAATATCTAATGTTGCCCTTGAGCTGACAGAAGATCTGTATATATGCAACAGATAACAAGGAAATTCTCAAAAATTCATCTTATATTTGATTACATTCCTTAGTTGGTCTTTTTGAGACTGATTTAACTTGTACAAACTTTGGCTATTTCTTATTTTCCCAATTCATGAATCTGAATGTTACACCAAATAATGCAATTATATTTTAGGCTTTAATTCCATAATTCCTAAATTTTATTCTAAAAAAAATATTTATACTTTCTTTTCAACTAGCCATTATATAAAAAAACATTTTAATTTATGGTGAACCACTGCCATTCTGTGTCCATTGTTTGCATTACATGAGAATTACACAGACTTAAAAGGTGATGAAATTTATTGCAGCATTAATGTATTGCTAATTTTCTTCACAACTTTAGGCAGGATACTTAGGCAACATCTGCTTTCTAAAGATAGGTACTTTATCAAGGCAGAAATTACTAATCTTTTCTACAAGTACTGATTAAGAGAACATTTCTTGTTACATTTCTGATGATAGTGCTTAGATTTGCCATAATTTAATGTATTCTTCCTCAAAGGACCAATTGTCAAACATTTTAGCCCAAATCTTCTACAGGAGGCATAAATATCAGTTCTTATGAAAAATATTGCACTGACTTTAATGTATTCAGCACATACTTGTGGTGATAAGGGATGGGATTGGGAAAGAAGAGCAAAGAAGGTAGAAAAATGTATGCAGGATGAAAGATTATGGTTTTTCTCATCATTAAACTGTATCTATGCCTGCTTTTGATTACTGGAGGACAACTATAGAAATTCAACACACTCTTTACCAGGGCTTTTTCTGTCATAGAACGCTCAGAACGGAGTTCTGGCACCTTTTTTGGATGGAACCTTGTAGGGAAGGCAAGGCAGGTTGTATGACGTGTGTGAGTTCCGGCACATTTTTTATATATATATACAAAAAAAGCACTGCTCTTTACATTTACGACACCACTGTAAAAAAAAAAAATCCTAAGGATTTAGAATGCAATTAAAACACCCTGCTACCAGTTTTCCTTGCAAAGAAAGGGCAGGTCAATTATCTGTATGTTTGTTTACATATACATAATTGTATTTGTTTACACTTTTGATTTATAACTCTGGGCAGGATACAACATGAAAAATCCAGTTAAAAATTCACAAAGAACCCCCCCCTCCCAATTCTGTAGTAAGAACAATAGAATCAGACAATCTACTTGATTGGCTCCAAATGGAATCTCCAAGTCCACTGATGAAACTATGTCTTCTTAGGCCTTGCAGAAAAGAAACAAGGTGGGGGCAATCATATCTCTGGAGGAATGAAGTTTCAAAATGAGGGAAGGCCCTTTTCCAAGGTCCCACCAGATGTACTTTCTTGATAATTGGGACCCACAACATGCCCTGCTTTCTTGCTCCGGTGCACTGGATAGATACAATTGGGAAAAGGCAGTCCATCAAATATCCTGGACCCAAGGTTTAAAACTGATAACCAGCACCTTGAACTGCACCCAGAAGCAAACTGGCAACCTGTGCAGCTCCTGAAAATGTGATATATGTGCAAATTTGGACTTGCAAAAAAAACATGCAGGCTGCTGCATTTTGAGTCAACTGTAGCTTCCAGGTGCTCTTCAAAGGCAGTGCAATACAATAATCCAAATGAGAGATGATCAGGCATGGATGATTGTGAGAAAGGCCCATTTGTCCAGCAATGGCACTCAACACACAGTGGTGTAAAGGCCCTTCTGGTCATGACTGCTAACTGCTTCTTGAACAAGAGTTGTGTGGGTCCAGGAGAAACTCCAGATTACGCATCAGATCTGTCTGATGGTAATTCTCCAAGAACCAAGAGGCTCCAAATCCAAAAACATTCTGTCTTGTTAGGGTTCAGATTTAACCTGTTGCTTCCCATCCAGACCTCAACAGCCTCAATGCACAGAGAAAGGGAGATTGTAGCATCATCATGGGCAGAGATGTACAATTCAATATTATCAGCTTATTGATGATATTGTATCCCATTGTGACAGATGCTCTTATCCAGCAGTTTCATGCACTGTAGATGTTAAACAGGAGTAGAGAAAGTACCAACTCTTGAGGGACTCACAATGTAGGAGTCAAGTGTTTTACCTCTCATTCCTGATCAACACTGACTGGAAATAGTCTTGAAGAAAGGAGGCAAAGCAGAAGAACACCATGACCTTCCACTACCAGTCTAAACTGTTCCAGAAAGATACCATCCATGACTGATATTAAAAGCTGCTGAGAAATCAAGCGGAACAAAAATGGATACGCTATCCAGGTTTCCATGTGGTTGAAGAACATACTACTGATGAACTTTGAACTGTATATTTGAGATGATATGATACAAGATTCTCTACTGAAATTGTATTTGGTCATCTGAATCTAATTTGGAAGAAGAAGTATATAAACAAGACCATTTTTACTTTATATAACTTGTAGCTAAAACTGTGGCAATAAACTGTAAGTGTCTAACACTAAATACCAGTCACTGTTGAACATGCAAAATAAATGCATTTTTTTTTTACTGGTGATTGTTGTAAACATGATTATTGTTATATTTGGAAAGGACCATAGGCAAACATCCATAAGAATTAGAGGCAGAACATAAATAGCAGAATTTGATTTGACAGAGTAAAAAAGGTGATTGATACATAGCATTCTAATACAATTCTCAAATTAATTCGCATAATTTTAATCTAGCAGTAGACAAACAGGATAGTATGATATTGATTCAAATAATATTTTAAACAAAAACACAAAAGGAGGAGAAAAAAGATACTGATGCACTAAAAAAAATCAAGACATTTTCTGTGATAACATTCTGCTCTTTATCAGAATACAATGTACTATGTCTAAGCTATTTAGTGATGAGTACAAAAATATTTATGAATGACAGGAGGTATATATTAGTCAAGAACATTTATGACTTATTACACAACTCGTCAAACTTGCCCATCCTCCTGTTTAAGCACTGGGTTAGCACAACTTGTCATTCCCTACAGAGTTGAGGGTAGGAGTGTGGTGTCTGTAGTTATGTGAGTCTACTACAATGTTTCTCTGAATTTTCAAGTGTTCCACATAGTTGACAGATTATTCTCTTTATGGTATTTGATAGTTTAGCTTGAAAGAAAGGTATATCCTCAATACCAAAAACTAATTTAGAAGAAATGCACTCAATACTTTCCTCAGTTAATAATTTTATTGCTCTTCTCTTTTTTAATTGTTAAAAATAGATAAAGTCTAAAAACATTTCCTTCAGGAACTAAGAGATTTATGAGACAAAAGTTTCTGAAAGAGTAACTTATATGGATTGCTCCTAAGCAAGAATTTACAGCAATGTGGAATATTATTGTGATTTCTAAACTCTATATCAGAAATCTTTAGTGTAATTTGAGGGCACAGTGTACACATTTAAAATAGTTAATCCAATATTTTCTTAACATATCTATCTCTACACTTTCATCTTTATGGAAGTGACAGCTACCGTGTTTCTCCAAAAATAACACCCAGGCTTAAATTTTTTTTCCTCCAAAAGAGGCAGTAGGTCTTAGTTTCAGAGGATGTTTTATTTTTCCCCCGACACCTGCCTCACCTTGCGGTGGTGGCACCAACGCCCCATCCAGCAGGAGCCCATATGGTCACTGGCCCACTTCAGTGGCCATTCGCAACCATTGGCGGCAGGAGGCTGCATGGCCCACCATGCTGTGTCACCCCATGAGATGAGGCAGGGTGAGGGAGGGGGTGGAGCACCCCATGGGTGCACAAACACTTTTTGCCCAGAGGGAGATTGGCCATACCCACCCCCGGGCTTATTTGTGGGTAGGGTGTATATTAGGCTCACCCCCAAAAAATCAAGCTAGGGCTTATTTTCAGGATAGGTCTTGTTTTTGGAGAAACATGATAAGCTGTTCATTAGCATCTTATTTCAAGTGAATAGCCTCCTTGGAATATTATGGAAAGATTAAAATATACTGAAAACAAAAACTTTAAGAAGAAAGTTAGAATATTTTAAGTCTGATTTAGTAAAAACAATTATTCATTTTGAATAAATGATTGCATCCAGACTAATTCCTAGGAAGGAAGCCTGGGAAAAGGAAATGGGGAGATAATAATTTGCTGTATTCTCTTCCCCTTGGATTGTTCTCCAAAGTTCTGTGATAAATGGCAATGGCCAGCGTAGTAGAAAACAGAATTGGAGAAAATCAATGCCTAATCCCTTTTTTCTAATGCAGGAAACATTGCACATCCTGAGGCTCCAGGCTTTATGTACTGCAAAAATACTTAAGATCACATCACTAACATCAGATGGAGAAGCAAGACAA